GCTCCTTTCCCCCCCCCCCCCCAATTTATTTATTTCAGGGACCAAACGCGGCTCTTTGGTTTGTTTGTTGGCAGGGACCCTGATCGAAAGAATCGAGGCCTTTCTGACCGGGCAGCCAGCTGAAGGAGAAGGAGAAAAAGGAAAAAAAAAAAAAAAAAAAGCTGAGCCGTACGAGGCAGGGAGCGGGGACGGAGCCGGTCCCCGGGCAGCGGGGCTTTGTGCGGGGCCCTCCGGGGCTCAGGCAGGAGCAGGAGCCGGGCGGTGTGCGCCGGGGAGCAGGGGGGATCGGCTTTTCTTTTCTCTTCCCCCACCCATCCCTTTTTTTATCCCCCCTCGGCTGCCCCTGTCTGTGCCACCTCGAACCTCCGCGCAGTTTGTTGATGTTGTTCCTGAACGTGCCGCCTCCCCGCAGCGAGCGGTCTCACATCTCGCCTTCACACACATTTGCTTTTGAAAAGCGATCTTCGTGTCCGGCACTTGGTTGTCTCCCTTTCATGTCCAGCTCCTACAAAAGGGGCTACAAGACTCGACATGGGAGAAAAGAGGAGGCCAATGAATCTATTTTCCAGATTGCCAAGCACATGGTTGGAAATTGAAGGGGCTTTTGTAGCATTTCCCCTTCCTCCCTCCCTCCACTCTCCTTTTCTTTTGCTTGTGTGCAAATTGTTCAATTGCTCTGGCAGGGGTGTTCCTGACAAGCTCATTACTAGAAGGTGCCAGACCCCTCCTCTCCCTCTCCCCCGAAGTCTTTGATGAAGTTAAAATGCGCTGATAGCTGCTCTCGGGGCTATCTTTGTTCAGCCTCTTTTAATAACCGAGCCTGCTTTGAGGAGACGGGATCCGAGGGAAGAAAGCGATGTGCAGCGAGGCTGGGTGGTGGTTGTGTGCCTGGCAGAAGGGGGGCTGGTTATTTTAATATAAAGTAGTGTTTTTTAATAATTTTTGGCTTGTTTGTTTATGAAGCGCAGGAGGAAAAGGAGCCAAGGGTGCCAGGAGCGGATAAGAAATGGCAGTGGATGCCCGCAGGGATGAAGGAGGCGTGTGGCCCCTGCAGTCCCGCCTGTGCAATGGGTTCTCCAAGTTGGTGGTCTCGGGGCTTGAAGGGATGGAGGGGGGTCCTCTGCAGGGAAGCGGTGTTTCCCTGGAGAGCCCCCTGCCCCCACATGCTCAGGAGAGGGGGATCGGGGGGGTCTCTGGGACTGGGACACCTTTCCCCGGCTCCGTTCGTCTCCTTTTGCCTTGCGGAGTCGTTGTGGGTTTTTAAGCCGCGGTCGCCGGACAGGATTGAAGCTGAGCTGACTTGGGAGCGAGGGATTCCCCCCTTAACGTGGTACCCACAGGAGGGGTCGGGCTCGGACCTGCGGGGGCTGCGACTGCAAGCGCCGTCAAGGTTTTATTTTGGGGGGAAGAACCCCAAGCGTCTCTAACAGTAGAATTTTCCCCATTCCCTGAATTTCCCTGAAGCACCGCAGCTCGTTCCGTGCCCCGATCAGTCTCACGCCGCCTGCAAGTGCCTGCGTGCCTCGGGGAGGGATCCGGCTCTGCCCGGCCGCAGGACTGGGGGGCGGCGGGGAAGGACCCGGGGGTCTCCCCTGGGTCCGGAATGCCCTGGCCGGGCTCGGTTCGGGGGTTTCACGAGAAATTTTGCCTCGGCTAGGCGGGACGGATAATGGCCCCTAATTACGGGGCTGGCTGGCTCCGCGGCCCCGATCTTCACGGGACGTTATTTTTAAGCGTTCAGCGAGGATCATTTTTCACGCCTCGCTGCCTAAAGGAGGGTTTTATTTATTTATTGGAGGGGAGGCGAGGAGGACACCAGCAATAACCGAGCACTGAAAGGAAAATAATTAGCTGTTGCAGTCGCTGCTTGGGAGTCCCTGGCCAAAAACGCGACTTAGCATTTCCCTTTTCCTCCCCTCCCGTGAGTAGGCTCCGTAGCCCAGGTTCTCGGGGCTGCTTTCGGGAGTTGGTTTTGTCAGTGCTAAACCCCGGGCAAAGCCCTCCAGGAGCCCGATCCTTTTCTGCACGTTTGGTGGGTTTTTTTTCCCCCTTCTCCCTTTCGGATCGGCGGCTGTTTCCGAGTAGGACCGGGGAGGGTGCAGATTTTCCTGCCTTGCTTTTTGGCTTTGGTAACGCATTCATGGAGATTTTTTTTTTCCCCCTAATTTGCCTCCACTCCTCTTCTTTCTGTATGTCAGATGAAAGGCTTGTAGCAAAACCGCGACGCTCTCTGCGCAGTTACTCCGCTGCGGATTTCCGTGTGTGCGCAGCCCGGGAGAGGCGGAAAACGGGGGATTCTCCTCGGGTTTGTCGGGGCGGGATAAAACGATCCTGCCCCGGAATATCCCCGTCGGGACCACAGCGGGAGGGCTGTGTGTGTGTAATTTCTTTCTCTGCTTTCGCTTAACTAAGCCCGTGTTAAGTGGTGCGGATCCCGAGGAGGGAAGCGAGTGGCCCTTCCCTCGCTCGGTGCGGGCTGTGGGTGCGGGACCCCGGCCCGCTCGGCCCTCACCCCCTGCCTCTTCCCCTGGCACCTTCTGCTTTCCATTACTGCTGATTTGGAGAATTAGGAAAGGTCAAGATCTTACTCCTTTCTCCGGTAGTTTTTTTGTTTTCCCTTTCCAGTTTCTCGCAGCCCCGAACAAAAATAAATCATCCTGGATT